TTTCTTTCTTTCTTTCTTTCTTTCTTTCTTTCTTTCTTTCTTTCTTTTCTCAACAGGTTGTATCCACGTCATGCAAGTGCCCTCAACAACCTTGGGACATTGACCAAAGACATAGCACAAGCAAAGGAATACTACAGTAAAGCTCTCCAGCTGAACCCACAGCACAATAGAGTCCTCTTCAATCTTGGAAATCTTCTCAAGTAGGTTTCTGGGCTCCTTCAAGCATTATACAATTACAGTTGAGATATAGCTACGGTATATATAATTTTGCTGCTTTCAAGTCAATCTAGTGACTGCCTAGACAAGTCTCTGCAGTTTCTCTGGCAAGATTTCAGAAGTGGTTTCCCAGCTGGCTACATGCCTAAGGTGGGACTAGAAATCACAGTCTCCTGGTTTGTATCCAAGTGCCTTTAACTAGTATGCTAAACTGGCATGTGTGTGTTTGTACATGCATGCATTCATATGCAGTACATATAATTCATTACACTGGTCCAATTTCAAAAGTTTTTCAACTTCCCAGTCTACAGTAGAGAATGACTGACCAAAATCACCCAACCGGTTTTCAAGGGTAAGGAAATACCAAAACCCTCACCCAGCATTTAATCTCTATGCTGCACTAGCTTTGAGAGAGAGTGTGAAAGAGAAAGAAAGAACCAATCCAACAGAGATCTAAGTGGACAACTGTTTAGCTTTTTTGATTCAGAAACTAAGTCCTTCCTTGGTCCCTTCCATTGTTTCATAGTGCCTTGCTTGGGTTTTTGACTTAGTGTTATGTGTATAGCTTAGTGTGATATTTGGGGCATTGGCAGTAAACTCTTTTCCATTGTGATGGGTATGAACTACAGCTCATTATTTGATTGAAACAAGTCAACCTACCTTATGGATTATGAGACTTAACAATAAACCATTATTAGGATTAATCTCAGTCTAAGGCTTAGCTGTGATGCTCAGGTGTAGTTAATCAAGTATTAAAGTGAAACTGTAATCTCCTTGTTGCCAAGCCAAGAAGAATGAGAAAGTGAATGGAAAGAAGCTTGTTTCAGTTAGGCTACAGCGTAGATTGAACTTTCTTGTAACATCAAAACTGAGCTAATGTTGGAATTAACTATAGAAGCGAGAGAAAAAGTTATGTAAGTATGTAATTATAGTGGATCTCAGTTACAGTGAAGCTTTTTATTATATTTTAATGTTCTTATCTGTCTATCATCTGTCTATCATCTATCTGTCTGTCTGTCTGTCTGTCTGTCTGTCTATCTATCTATCTATCTATCTCTCTATCTATCTATCTATCTATCTATCCGATGGTGTTGTTTCCCATGAAACAGCTAGATTATGCTAAATAATAGCAGCTTTGTGCAGCTATCCCTTATTATCTACTCTTTGATATTGAAGTCACGATGTTCTGTTTTTTCTAAGTAATAAATCATCCTTGATATATAGTCTTTAATATAAGGTTCATGTAATAGAACTATATCATCTAAACTCCAATATCAGCTGCTATTAATCATGCCCATCAGCTGTTTTGTATACTAGCTTATAAAATTTGAGGTGAAATACAATAATATTCAGAAATCCAATTAGAATCATACTGCTTATCCAATAATAGTTGCTACTTTTTGAAGGCAGCAAACACAATATGATTCAAGCCACTCTAAACAATAATAGAAAAATGGATCTAAAGACAATACCAGATAGACTTTTAAAAATGCAAGTCTTGGATAGATACATATGGCATGTTAATTTATTTGAATGGTAGTCATCTGACTATGTGAAAAGAAATGTTAACACTTCAAATTTCCAGACAATATAATAACTGGACAGCCCTTGGCAGTTGTGTCATCATTTCAGAGATATTTCATTACCTAAACAGAAAACCAGAACGACCATAGATTGGCAAAAAAACAGTGGGAGCGTGAAAGACTTTTCATTTCCTTCTGGCTTCCCCATTGAGTTTCCTTGTGGGATTCTGGCCGGGAGCATTGGAAATCCTCTCTCCCCTCCACTCCTCTCCCTTCTCCTCCCCCTTTACCTTCCCACAGATAAATGGTTGCTGCTGCTTGGGGCAGAGTAAGGGATTATGAGAGTAGCTGGGAAATTGTCATGGAACATTAAAAATGAAGATCATATGACTGTAGCAGCAGCATAACTGCAGCCAGTAACACTGAAGCACCCACATTTCCCCCAAATTTCATTGAGTTATGGATCTTGATTTTTGGATACATTCTGTAAGTTAGCCCATTTCAGATTCAAAAATTGTTGCCGTATGATGTACTAGTTAAAGGTTGTGACAGTGAGTGTTTTAATAGTATATAGGCAAATGGCGCAGTGGTTAGAGTGCAGTACTGCAAGCTACTTCTGCTGCAGCCAGCTGCCTGCAATTTGGCAGATCGAATCTCACCAGGCTCAAGGTTGACTCAACCTTCCATCCTTCCAACGTGGGTAAACCGCTTAGAGAGGGCTGTAAAGCACTATAAAGCGGTATATAAGTCTTAAGTGCTATTGCTATAATGTAATGTAATATCCCAAAGATGCTTTTGTGAAAAGGCAACTGGACCTTTCCTAGAAGATATTTTGCTTCTCACCCAAGAAGCTTATTCAGTTCTGGCTGAAAGCTAGAGGATAGAAAGATTTATATTCCGTGCAAGTCATCTAGTTATTAGCACTCTTTCTGAGAGTTATTGAAACACAGATAAACCTCCAAGTGGCCTCAACAACTCTCAGAAAGAGTGCTAATGACCAGATGACTGCAAGGAATATAAATTCTTCTATCCTCCACCATTCAGCCAAAACTGAAGAAGCTTCTTGGATGAGAAGCTAAATGTCTTCAGGGAAAAACAAATTCCAGTTGCCTTTTGACAAAAGCATCTTTGGGACAACCATGACCTGGATGACTGAGAATCTTCATAGAGTAATGTAATGTAATCAGAGATACCCAACTTCTTCTATAAAAAGTGCTATTTTTAGCTTTTAAGGGTTGCATTGTACAAATAATGGGCAGAGCCAGAAGAAAAGCTGAATATGATTTCATTTACATTTTATGAAGATAGCTGTATTCCATTTCCCTTGCTTTCCTACTCCCAGATTTCAGGTAGCTGTTTTTTCAGATTTGAATTACACAGAAACAACTTAGTTTGTGTCTTTTGCACTTCTCAGAAGTACATTTTCTTTCACCATTAAGTGGGTGCCGCATTCCAATAGAAAGAGTCTTCTAGTCTATTTACGATACACATGTTTATGATGCTATTTATTTAGTCTGGCCTATGAATGAGGTACCAAGTGAAAGAAATGATCAAAGTATACATGCAACACATCTACTATGGTTGCATTTTTGTGGGTGTCCCAAATGTTGTGGCTGTTGCTGTAGAGCAGTGCTTCCCAAACCCGGATAAAATTACCCTAAATTGGGTAAATGTAGTTTTTCTTTGGGTAATGACCCACAAATCCATTAACAATCACAAAAGGGGCATTTAAATGGGTTTCTGTAGATTTCTATGTGTATTAAAATATATTCAAAAATATCCCGAAGTATTCCTAACTGAACAAAAACCAATACAATTACCAACAGTAATTTGTTCAAAAGACATAAAGATCATTCAGTAATATTGTTTTTATAATACAGTAATTCTCAAGTTATGACAGTTTGTTCAGTGACCATTCAAGTTATGAAGGGTCTGAAGGAAGGACCTTACAACTGGTCCTTGCAGTTTGATAAGACTTTATGATGAGTGGTTTGGGGTAGGTAATGAAGGAAAAAGTTTAGGAAACACTGCTATTGACTTGAAATTTTAGGACTGAACTGGTCTGTGCTTTTGATGAAATTTTTCATATTTGTCCAGATAACAATCTTTCATAATGAAAAATGATTCCAGAGGTGTTATTCACTGTCATTAAATTTGTTTCTGAGCCCACAAAATGAGATATTTCTGGCTGCCTATATTCTTTTGACAAGCAAAGCAAAAAAGAAAAAGAAAGAAAGAAAGAAAAAACAAACCAATTCTTCTAGCTTTCTATTTTAGTCAGGGAGACTATATTTATGGGTTTCACTTGATAGCACATTTTGATAGGAGCCATGTAATGAATATTTGGTTTTGTTTTCAGTTTTGAGATAACATGTGTCATAACTTTCTTGCTTCCCCCCCCCCACCCCTCTATAAAAATAAAAATAGGGCAATGAGACATAGAGCTGGTGCAAAATATTTTTCTGCTGTATAAAAAAGAGGGCTCTTCTAGATGACCAGGCTGAGCCCAAAGGTGAGATCAATTGTGCCATCATTTTGGAGTCGCTACATTCCCACAAGAGACCTAAGTCCAACCCCCAGTGAATTCCATTGACTCTAATCTAGCTCCAATTTGCCTTGACTGTTAGTAGATCAGACTCTTTTGTGTAGCAATAAGCACTTACTTATATACCGCTTTTACAGCCCTCTCTAAGCGGTCTACCAAGTCAGCATATTGCCCCCCAACAATCTGGGTCCTCGTTTTATTGACCTTGGAAGGATGGAAGGCTGAGTCAACCTTGAGCCGGTGAGAATCGAACTGCTGGCAGCAGATGTAGCCTGCAGTACTGCATTCTAACACGGCTAGGTAGGTAACATAGGTAGCATAAAATAAATTCAGCGTACTTTTGAACTCAGTCCTGGTTCCTTGTTTCTTAGGAGCCTAAACCTATACCTATGGTGGATTTTGCAAAAAAAAATAATTAAGAGCAAATGAGAATTACAAAAATAGCAGAGATTGGCTATTAGAAGAAATAGCTGTCTAAAGCTCAGTATCATATATATATTCTACAATGGGGCAAATAAATGTCCATTGTCTTTATTTTGCTTTTTCTTCAGCTTGAGTATACAAACAAGCAGAACGATATGGTTAAATGGGTTATTTGCCATTTGAGAATATGTGTCATGTTCCAGAAAAATCCAACTCCAACTAGAAACTCAGAGACAGCATTTTCTCAAAGTTTCTTTTTATTAGAATAGGTATACTGGCATATCTGGGAAAACCCGAATTGGAGAGTTCCGGGTTTTCCCTTAGTAATTCAAAATTCAAAACCCAACCCCTGCACCCATCAGTCCATCACATGGTCCAATCACCAACCATCCCAACTTGGGACATCCCTTCAACCACTCCTCCTCCAGGTGCAGGAATAACATGACCTTGACTGAAAAGAAGAATGCTATTGTGTCTAACTACCAACACTCTA